CCAGGAGGTCATGGTTCAATTTCCAGGTCCAGGACACATGCCTGGGTTGTGTGCCTGGATCCCCAGTAGGGGGCGTGCAGGAGGCAGCCCACTCAATGATTCTCATCGAATGTTTTTATGTGTTTTTTTCATCATCGATGTTTCTCCCTCTTCCCTTGCTTCTCTGAAATCAATTTTTTTTTAATATATTTTATTAATTTTTTACAGAGAGGAAGGGAGAGGGATAGAGAGTTAGAAACATCGATGAGAGAGAAACATCGATCAGCTGCCTCCTGCACACTCCCTATTGGGTATGTGCCCGCAACCAAGGTACATGCCCTTGACCGGAATCGAACCTGGGACCCTTGAGTCCCCAGGCCGACGCTCTATCCATTGAGCCAAACCAGTTAGGGCTGAAATCAATTTTTAAAAAATATTTTTAAAAACCAAATTGCAGGTTTGACCCTACACGTGGCTGAAAGCACACTAAAAGTTTCCTTTGCTTTCTCTCCCGTAAGAAAGCGCGCAACAGCTGTCCGCTCCTGGGCTTCCTTTCATTTTATATATAAAAGGATTTCAAGAAGAAGAAGAAAAAAAAACACTCCTCTGACCACTCTGTCAGATGGCATTGTTGATGGCTGGTGGTTTCTAAATGAAACAGACAAAAAAGAACCTATTTTTTTAATCATTACCAAAAAAGGGAAAATTTGTTTTCTTAGAAGTGTTAGCAATAGAGAGGGGATTTAAACTCACAGTCTAGAAACTAGAGAAACTTGTGCATCCCTTGTACTCTGAACATGTTTTCCTTTTTTGCAATGCATCTCTCATCTTTATTTATTTATGTATTTATTTATGTATTTTATTGACTTTTTACAGAGAGGAAGGGAGAGGAATAGAGAGTTAGAAACATCGATCAGCTGCCTCCTGCACACCCGCTACTGGGGATGTGCCCACAACCAAGGCACATGCCCTTGACCAGAATCGAACCCGGGACCCTTCAGTCTGCAGGCCGATGCTCTATCCACTGAGCCAAACCGGTTAGGGCCACAGTGGCTTTTCTTGACCATCAGATTGGCAGCTTTGCAGAGCAACAAACCCACGTCTTGAGCAGCCAGCCTGGGAGGAGGGCGGGAGCAGACGTCCCCGCAGCTGCGTTGACTGAGGCAGCGACCCGCTGAGCCCGCTTCCTGTGCTGCTGACGGGACACAGCGCTGTGCCCCACCCGGAAGCTTACTGCGAGGATTAGCCAAGATGGGGAGTGGGAACGGGGTGACAGCAATGGCAAACAGGGCTCTCACTACATCCCAGCTGGCTCCCAAATTACACTTGGTGCAGGAAATTTGAGAAAATGCAAAAAAGCACACACAGCCCTGACCAGTTTGGCTCAGTGGCTAGAGCGTCAGCCTGCGGACTGAAGAGTCCCAGGTTCGATTCCGGTCAAGGGCATGTACCTTGGTTGCGGGCACATCTCCAGGAGGGGGTGTGCAGGAGGCAGCTGATCGATGTTTCTCTCTCATGGATGTTTCTAACTCTCTATCCCTCTCCCTTCCTCTCTGTAAAAATCAATAAAATGTATTTTTTTAAAAAAAAGCACACACATAGTTCATTTACCAAAAATGCAATGAGCCCTAGCCGGTTTGGCTCCATGGATAGAACGTCGGCCTGCGGATTGAAAGGTCCCAGGTTCGATTCCGATCAAAGGCAGCTGATCGATGTTTCTCTATCATCGATGTTTCTAACTCTCCATCTCTCTCCCTTCCTCTCTGTAAAAAATTAATAAAATATATTTTTTTTAAAATGCAATGAGATTGTATAAAGTTGAAAGTATCTGTTCATTGTATGCATGTGTGCATAACCCATGGACACAGACCATAGGGGCGGGGGCGGGCTAAAAGGGGTCAATTGAGGGAAAAGGGGGACATAAGTTATACTTTCAACTAAAGATTTGGGGCAAAAAAAGACAGTATTTGTTCACAACCATAAAGGAGTGCCTTCCCTAGACATACAGAGCGCGATGCTCGCGAGATACTTTTCTGAGCGTCTGCTGTGGGCGGGTGTGGTTCCGGCAAGTGAAGTGCTGAGCGCGGCTCTCCGGCTGGTCCGCGGGGCCACACCCAAGATGGCTACGTCCCCAGCCCGTTTCCGGGCCCCGCGGAGCACTTCCGCCTGCCACTCCCAACATGGCCCCACCAGTGCGCTCGGGGGCGGGGCTAGGGGCGGAAGTGGGTGTAACGGGGACGGAAGCCGAGGAGGGACGCACGCAGACACAAAACACAGGCAGGGGAAGCGGCGCCGGGCCGCAGGGATGATTCCCCCGCAGGAGGCGTCCGCCCGGCGGCGGGAAATCGAGGACAAGCTGAAGCAGGTGAGACCGGGGCGGGGGCGGCGGGGAGGGAAGGCGCCGAGGCCCGGGCCCGGCATCCCCTCTGGAAGGAGGCAGGGGGCAGAGGGGCATTCCCTGCAAGGAGCTGGGCTCGGGGCGAGGCCGCGGGCCGGGACGCGGTGATCTGCAGCCGCGGGCTTCTGGTGATGCCTCCCCTCCGCGCCCCCAGGAGGAGGAGACGCTGTCCTTCATCCGAGACAGCCTGGAGAAGAGCGACCAGCTCACCAGGAACATGGTGAGTAACCCTCAGCTGGGAGGGGCTGCAGGCCTCCAGAGAGCTCGGCGACCTGGCGGGTCCGGTCCGGTCCGGTCCGGTCCGTAAGGCCTGGGGTTCTGGCCTGGGTAGGAATGGTGGTATTGGGTGGGTTTCTCCGGCAGCAGTGTGGCGGGCGTGTCCCTTACCTGGTCGCCTTCCCCTGGTCCGCCTCCTCCCTGAGGATGCTGCTGCCCCGCTGGCCTGGGCTTGGTCTTCTCTCCACGACCTCCCCTTCGTCTCCTGCTGCAAACACAGTGAGGCTGACTTGGGTGGGCCGGGGACGGTCGTGTGTCATCCTCACTTCAGGCGACGGGCGGAGGGCAGGGGTGGCACTTCTGAGGCCGCTGAGGGCAGACAAGACTCAGCCATCTCCCTCCCCCAGGGCTCTGGGGTAGGATGAGCTCTGAAATCGGACAGATCTGGGATCTGGTCCTCACCCTCCACTTGTTTGTGTGCGGCTCCTGGCAGGTAACTCTGAGCCTCGGTTAACTCATATGGTAAGACAGGGACAATGCCACCCGCCCCCTGTGGCTGTGAAGGTCATGGGAACTCATCTTGCACAGCACCTGGTATACAGTAGGTGCTCCACAAATATGAGGTTTCTTCTTTATTTCCAGAGGGGACTGTAAAGCACAGGTTGAGTAGATACAAGCTTGGTGTATGCATGTAGTAACACAGTCATGAAGGCCTAGTACCGTGGTCGGCAAACTGCGGCTCGAGAGCCACACGCGGCTCTTTGGCCCCTTGAGTGTGGCTCTTCCTAAGCCTTAGGAGTACCCTAATTAAGTTAATAACAATGTACCTACCTATATAGTTTAAGTTTAAAAAATTTGGCTCTCAAAAGAAATTTCGATCGTTGTACTGTTGATATTTGGCTCTGTTGACTAATGAGTTGGCCGACCACTGACCTAGTCCTTATGTAGTGAGATTCACCCTTAGCAAGAGAGGCTTTTGAAAGTGCCAACAATGCATTTGAGGCGACTCCATATGCAACTACGCCCTGTTCAGTCTAGGGAAGCCTCAGAAAGATCAGGCATTGAGATTTGGCTTCAAAGGGTAGAAGGGAAACCATCGGGGTGATTATCTTGGGGGAAGGTCCTTTGTTGCTTGCATTGCCTTTGAATCAAATTTCATCCAATGTGTTTGGACCACCTCCTATGTGCTGAGGACACAGGGGTGAACAGCTGCACCCCCAGCCCTTCCCTCGTGGAGCTTATTGTCTAGAAAACCAGAGAAAAAGCAGCCAAGGCCGGAGACCTGGTGGGTGCCTGGAAGCCTGAGAGCACGTGTTCCCCCACAGGTGTCCATCCTGTCATCCTTTGAGAGCCGCCTGATGAAGCTGGAGAACTCCATCATCCCCGTGCACAAGCAGACAGAGAACCTGCAGCGGCTGCAGGAGAACGTGGAGAAGACTCTGTCCTGCCTGGACCACGTCATCAGCTACTACCATGTGGCCAGTGACACCGAGAAGGTCATCAGGGAGGGGTGAGCTAGGCCAGGAGGTCACATTCCTTTCATTGTTTTTTGTTTTTTTAATTGACTTTTTCTTTTATTTTTTGTTAATTTATTGTTGACATTCTTGATGCCTCCTGGACCAGCGGCGTAGAAGGGGAAGGGGGTAGAATATATTTGAGTCTGAGTCCCCGATATTAATTCTCTTCTTTCCCCTTCCACATGGGTCCTTCTCTTCCTCTTCCATCCAGCCAGGCTGACACAGCTCTGTTCCTTCCCAGCCCCACAGGGAGGCTGGACGAGTACCTGGGAAGCATGGCCAAGATTCAGAAGGCTGTGGAGTATTTCCAGGACAACAGCCCAGACAGCCCAGAGCTCAACAAAGTGGTAAGGGGCCAGCAGGGTACGGGGGGAGGTGTGGGGACATCAGTCCCTGCCCTGGCCTCATGAGAGACTGAACCAGCTTAAAGGAGAATGTAGTGGAATAAATATAGTACACATACTGTGGTCCTGAAGAACTCTGCCTCAGGAATCACAGATATACATTTAAAAAAAATTTCTTTTATTGATTTCAGAGAGGAAGGGAGAGGAAGAGGGAGATAGAAACATCAATGATGAGAGAGAATCATTGATCAGTTGCCTCCTGCACGCCCCACACTGGGGATCGAGACCGCAACCCGGGCATGTGCCCTTGACCGGAATTGAACCCGAGACCTTTCAGTCCGCAGGCCGACGCTCTATCCATTGAGCCAAACCGGTTTCGGCAGAAATTTTTTTTTTTTAATATATATTTTATTGATTTTTTTACAGAGGGGAAGGGAGAGCGATAGAGAGTTAGAAACATCCATGAGAGAGAAACATCGATCAGCTGCCTCCTGCACACCCTCTACTGGAGATGTGCCTGCAACCAAGGTACATGCCCTTGACCGGAATCGAACCCGGGACCCTTGAGTCCACAGGCCGACACTCTATCCACTGAGCCAAACCGGTTAGGGCACATATAGAAATTTTTTGATATTTGCAACCATAGTAAAACAAAGATTTATATTTTTGATATTTATTTTATATGTTTAAATGCCATTTAACAAAGAAAAATCAACCAAAAAAATGAGTTCGCGTGTCACCTCTGACACGCGTGTCATAGGTTCGCCATCACTGGTCTAGTTCTTTCCTTGCAAACCCTTTTCTAACAGGAAGACAGCTTGGTAGTGAGTGAGAAGGTGATCAGCCAGTGTTCATGCAGCAGCTGCTTATACAGCCCTGGTTTCACTGTGAGCATCCCGTTAGCAAGAACCTGAGCTGAAGGAAGGACCCAGGAAGGCCTCCTGCCTTTCTTCTCGGGGTTCAAGGAAGTGCAGGCAGAGGCGGGGAGGGGCGGGCGAGCCGAATGCCGCAGCAGCAGTGGGCCCTCCTCCTCCCTCCCCTCGCCCCCGCAGAAGCTGCTGTTCGAGCGGGGGAAGGAGTCCCTGGAGTCGGAGTTCCGCAGCCTGATGACTCGGCACAGTAAGGTGGTCTCCCCTGTGCTCATCCTGGACCTGATCGGTGGGGAGGAGGAGCTGGAGATCCAGGAGGAGGTGCCCCTGGAGCACCTGCCGGAGGGCGTGCTCCTGGACGTGATCCGCATCTCCCGCTGGCTGGTGGAATTCGGCCACAACCAAGGTGAGGGGCCGGCCGGGGGGCCAGCGGCAGGGCAGGCCCAGGGGGAGGGGCAGGTTTTTTTTTTTTAATAAAAAGTTTAGCCATGGCCGGGTGGCTCAGTGGGTTGGAGAGTCGTCTCGTACACCAAAAGGTTGTGGGGTCGATTCCCAGTCAGAGCACATACCTAGGTAGTGGGTTCAATCCCCAGTCAGGGTGCGTACAGGAGGCAACTAATCGATGTTTCTCTCTCACATCTATGCTTCTCTCTCTCTCTCAAATCAATAAAAATTAATAAAATCATTTTGTAATGGCTAAAGATAATAGTGTTTTTTCCATTCACTGACATGTGTTGTCTCTGTGCCTCCTATAAATTACTCACATCCTTTGACTCCTTACCTAATCTTTATATTTTTTATCTGAAAATACTTAGCTTCAGAACTTAAAAAAATCATCAGTTCTATGGGGAGGTACTTTCCCTTTAAAGACTTTGCCTGATTCGGGGCAAGGCCCCGTGGTGGCTGCGAGCCCGAGGAGGTGCTAGGAAGGGGTTAGCAAGTAGGAATAGTGGGCGCGCTGCCGCCCCGTGGAGCTGGTCTAGAGGGGAAAGGCCGGACCGGCTGCCGCAGGCCTGTCCACATCTCTCCTCAGATTTCATGAACGTCTACTACCAGATCCGCTCCAGCCAGCTGGACCGCTCCATCAAGGGCCTGAAGGAGCATTTCCGGAAGAACAGCTCTGCCTCTGGGGTTCCCTACTCCCCTGCCATCCCCAACAAGAGGAAAGACACGCCCACCAAGAAGCCCATCAAGCGGCCAGGTGAGTCCCCGCCCCGGCCCTTTAAGCACCAGCCAGAAGGCGGTGGGACCTGCGTTGCTTTTGGCCACCCTGGGGTTAGCGGCGTCGGCCCCTCCAGCTGCAGGCAGACAGGAAAGAAAGCCAGTGTCTGCCCCCAGCAAGGCCCCACCGAGGAGGCTCTTCCTGCTGCTCAGCAGGGTCTGGGGGCTGCATCCGTGTCTTTGGAGGAGGGAGGGGCATCAGAGATGTGGAGAGGCAGGGGAGTGGGGTGCAGCCAGGGCAGAGCCCCTTGCTGGGCCCCTGCTCCTCCCCTGTTGTCCCGCCAGGAGGCCAGGCTGCGACAGCCAAGCTCGGGGGATGGGACAGGGCAGCCTTCACCTCCCAGCGAGCCAGGGCGGCTGGAAGTGGCGCATGGCTGAGAAGTGGGTGGGAGACTTTATACTTTCACAGTCAGCCCTCCCGGAGGAAGTGCGCCTGGCTTTCAGGCCGCACTGCGAGTTCGTGCCTTGTGGCGGGCCGTAGTGGGAGGGTGCTGAGGGCGAGAGGCCCGGGCCATGGGTTGTGGTGTTCTGAGTGAACAGCTCACATCCTTGTCCCTGCATCATGTCCCCACAGTCTGTGCAAGTAAACTGTCCCGTGTGCACCCACAGCTTGGCAGGCCTGGGTTCAAGCTGCAGGCACTGCCCCAGGGGTGGCCTGCGGGACCCGCCCCGGTGAGAGGCTGGGTGTAGAGCTTCCCCCTTCCTTTGTCCGGCCCTTCCTGCCCTGCCCCTCTGAGGGTGTCTGTTCGCACTCCTTAGGGTTTGGAAACGTGGCAGAGCAGACGCTGCCCTGGGGGCACAGCCAGGCGAGCTTAGGGAACTGGGGGGCCTGGAAGGAAGGCACTGCCTTCTCCCCTCCAGTGTGGGTGCCCCGGCCGCTCCCCCAGAAAATCCGTGACTCCACTGGGCTGGCGGGCTTGGCCGAGGCTGCGGCTGCTGCAGGCGGGCCGCCCCGTTCCTCTGTGCCTCTGTGTGCTGAGCAGGGCTGTGTCTGGGAGGCCGCCTGGGCCAGCGGTCTGTGCTCAGTTCCCGTCCGTCTCTTCTCTGATGGCCCCGGGAGGCCCTGGGATCCGATGTGCTCTGCCCTGGGGTGCTGGCCGGCCACACAGGGACAGGGCCTTCCGGGAGGAGGGCTCCCCGTGGACTGAATTCCTCCTTGGCTTGTAGACCCAAGAGGGAAACTAGCTGGGAGGTCCCCATGCTCCTGTGGGTTGTCCGGAGCTGGTGGGCTCAGGACTGGTGTCGGGACTAGGGAACCGGGCCTGGGACATCAGTTCTGGGGGCGGGGGGGGGGGCGGGGGGGAGCAGGGAGAGGAAGGTAGGTGGCCATGAAGCGCCAGCCTCAGCGCTGTCCATGGCAATTGGGTGCCTGATGGTCTTGGCAGCTGCCAACAAGCAGCCCCACTTCACACCCGTGCCCTGTGCTGGCTGGGCTCCCGCTCGGCTGCGGGGCCGGAATCTGAGGTCTCCTTAGCGGCCGCCCACTGCACAGGGAGACAGATGCTGCGCCGGCCCGCGTGTTATTAGCGGCTGATGGTGGCGTGGTGCGAACAGGAAGAAATGAGCCCCAGGCTTTGCCTCTTTTCACCCGCGCTCCTCAGCGGCCAGGACTCGCGAGGCAGGGGATGGGCTGCGGCTCAGGGCGGAGGCCCGTGCAGGCAGCGCGCTCGCTGTGTGAGGTGCCGGTTTATTCCCCACACGCTCTGCCCTGCGGTGCCTCGTTCCGAGTGGCTGACCCGAGGCTGCGGATGCTGCAGTTTGTTCTTGTTGTTTTGACTTGTGACACTAACTGTTGTTTCCCCCGTGCCAAGAGCATGCGCCCTTTCCTACTGCCCTCCCGGCTCTGGGGCTCTGTTAGCCCCTCTCGCCCTTGAGCTTTTGCAGTCTCGTTGGTGGTTTGGGTAACCTCAGTGTGTGGGCCGGGCTGCCTCCGGGCCTCCAGCCTTCGTCCTGGCACTGCCCTCCCAGGGGGCTCCTTCCCGTCTCACCAGCTCCCGTGCTGCTTTCTGACTGCTGTTTGGCCACTTGCCAACACTGAGCATGCCCAGAGCTGTGCCTGGCGCTCCGCGGGGCGCAGGCCTCCCAGCCTCCAGGTGCCCGTGCTCTGTCCTGGGTCGTCACTCCGGGTGTGAGAGCTTCGTCACCAGCTCCTCCAGCCCGAGCCCGAGCCTGTTTGGATTTCAGGAGTTCTTTTTACTGGGGCTCCTCTTGGTGGGCCTTTGCCCGCCTCGTCTCCTTCAACCTCCACGCACCCTCCAATGAGCTCAGGCCAGAACAGAGGGCCAGGAGCAGGACGGGAGGCCCCAGGGAATGTATCCACCCCTTCGTCTCCATCTGCTGGGTCCCCGGCGGCCTGGGGAAGGTCCGCTGGCAGAGGCGGGTCTGGGCTTGCTCACTGTCGGCCCAGCGTGGGCTGAGCGTGGAGGGCCGCTGCTGGGAGAGGGGGGTCTGGGCGCTCACTGTGGGGGGGCCGGGTGTGGGCTGGGCGTGGAGGGCCGCTGCTGTTTTCTCTCACTCGTTTCCCAGGTCTTCTTATCTCCTCTCTGTGTGGCTCTGGTGACAGGGACGATCCGTAAGGCTCAGAACCTTCTGAAACAGTATTCCCAGCATGGTCTAGATGGGAAAAAGGGGGGCTCTAACCTCATTCCTCTGGAAGGTAATCACCCCGTGTTCCTCTCCCGTTCCCTCCTCCTCCGTCGTGTGTTCACTCCCGCGGCAGGGCAGAGCCTCCAGCCCCAGGAGGGCCTCGGGGGGAACCCTGAGAGGGGACGGGTGGGGCTGCCCGTCCCTGTGCCAGTCGCTCCAGCTGGCGCAGGGACAGGTTTCGTGGCCTTGGCCTGGTCCTGTCTGGCTGATGGCAGCTCTGCCCTCCCTGGGGCTCCCCTCCCCCTCCCCTCCCTGTCTCTGTCCTTGTCTCCTGTTTGAACTCAGAGAGAGTTCTTGGCCGTGGGCAGCCCTTTCATGCTGAGATCAGCGGTGGCAGGACCAAGCTGGCCTAGGCCTCCTGGTCACCCCCAACTTTATAAGGGGGGAGGGGGTGCAGCAAGGGGACAGGCAGCAGGTCGGCACATCCCTTTCTCATGTCAGGAGAATAGCCTCACCCTGGAGGACCTGGCCCTCCTCCCTAAGAATGAGCTGGGGACAAGAAGGAGGCTGTCCCCAGTCCCTCGCAGTGACAATTCTCTAACTGGGTTTCCCCATGTCCGGCAAGATCACCCCCCGGGGCCAGGCATCAGCCGCTCCACGGCTGCCAGAAGCCCCTCAATTCTTCTTGGCCTCGCGGCTTTCTCTTGGCCTCTGGGCTTGGGGAAACCAGCTCCCAGGGATGGTCCTGGCGCTGCAAGTCAGGCTTGAAACGGCTGTTCCCAGGGTGGCCCGCGGCAGAGGAGGGGCTCAGAGCCCCTCCAATGCCCCTCCCCGACACCCCCCTCACACCCTCCCGGAGATTGAGGGCTTCTTCCCGGTCCCCAAGGGCCAGCCCGCCCGGCCCCTGGATAAACGCTGCTTGTGTTTGTGCGGCTGACGTCTCGCTAGGTCACCAGCATGATTTCCGAGTTAAGCACCTGTCCGAGGCCCTGAACGACAAGCACGGGCCGCTGGCCGGTGAGTACGCAGCCCAGCCCAGCCCAGCCCGCGGGCAGCCGCCGCTGCCTTCCCAGCAGCCACCAGAGGGCCCAGAGGATGGGCCAGACCTGTCGCTCTCTCCTTCCATCTCGCTCTCCT